TCGATTTGTGTGAGGGCTGAGATACTGCCCAGGTGCCCAGACTGAAGCAGGACTCAGTTATAAACGGCAATATTTAATTATATTTACAGTGAATGCTGTTTCGAACATCGGTTAAATAAACTGGAATGTAATTACATAAATTTTAGACTTGATTTACACAGGTGTGGAATTATTTTCCTAGATAATCGTTCCCGGTTAATATGTGTGTAAAGTGTATTTGAATGAAGACTGCGTAAATGATTTCGATCTACCTCTTTTCACTAATCTTTATATGTCTTTGATTAAATTAGGATTAAAACATAATTGTTATTAGAATCAGGGTTTGTGGAGATTGTAGTGATTTTTATGGTTGAATTTATGAGTCGATGTAAGCTACACCACCATTGGAAACCTGGAAGCACTGGACGGTCGTTTCGTTGCTTAAGATCAGGGATCGATTGATGTTAGACTTTAACACCATTGGATGCCGGGTCAGTGGTCAAGATGTTAAGTATTTGCGCGCGTGATCGAGGGCTCTGGGTTCTAGTCCCTCGTGAGAAATAGTGGATGCGCAGTGCTGAAGAGTCCCATATTAAGATAATGCATCCGTCTAATGCTCCCAGGTTTTCAATGGTCGTCTAACTTACATTGACTCATGAATCCAACTATTGAAACATAATCATCGAATTGAGAGTGAGTAACGTTGACTAGTGATTGATAGTTTTAAATCATGGATTGATTTTATATAGTTGGACAATAGGTAAATAATCAAAAAGCACAAGTTTCAATAAAAATGAATGATGATCGCTTAATATCATAAATTAACTGAAATTAAAAATATGAACCAGTGGCCGTGTTCTGAGGTTCTTGAGTTTAATCTGTGGCAGGGTTTGGGCTGTTCATCGTTGAAAAGTCCTTCTACTAGTTTGAGACAATTGTTGTCCAACATTATAATTTGCTCTTTGGTATCCAGTCAGAAAATGTGAACGAGATAGTTAATGAAATAAGAGGACACTCATAGTTACTACTCAACACTATGCCCTCCAACAATTTCGATTCTCTCCCCAACTATTAAACAGACGTTGGAATATAAGTTTAGTCTGCTCCTGAGAAGAATATATTTCGTGGAAAAATATCCTTTTCAATATATGTATTCAAAAAACTATAGCTTAAAAATGACGATTACTCTGGAAAAAATATCAAAACTGAGTGAATTCATAACGAAAATTGTTAGAATACACTAGAATGAGACTCAGAAAAAACTAATAGCTAACTTCTCAAAATCCAATCTTGTGTAGAAATGAACTATCATCTCGTTAAATTAATTGAGAGTCTTGTTACTGTTTGCTTTTTTAAACATCCAGTCTTATTTCTTGATTTTTCAATGATTGCCCCAGTGAAGCCAATTCTTAGTATGGGTTGTAGAGATTGTTAATTTTTTGATTGAGATCATGAATCGATCGATGTTATATCACCATTGAAAACCTGGGAGCGCAAGATTGGAAGTTCTGAGTTCGGGTACTGAGTGCGAAATCGTGGATGTGCATTATTGAGAAATCTCTTACTGGAATGAAACGACCATCCATTACTTCCAGGTTTTCAATGGTGATCCAATATCGATCGATTCGTGATCTCAATCTAAAGCCAATTCGTTAAACAAGCTACAAAAGAAACTATTTCTACTAATAAATAGTAATTATTGAACAATGTTTTGGGTTTATCCATTAAAAATGTTGATGATAATATCTCTGATTTAATTAAAATATTAATACAGCAACAATTTGATTATAAGGATTAATATTATCCTCAATATTTTAGAGCTACTGAGCACAAATATGTTGCATTCTATGATCATTCTAGTCTATTACTGATACATATGCTTCCCATATGCTAGTTGGATTAGCTACGTAAGTATAAAAAAAAAACAGACCAAGAATGTGTAAGAAGCTTTGATTGGTTAACCTTCAATCAAAATATATGCACAAACGCACTTATAAATTTGTGTTCATCTTTTTGAGGAAATTAATTCAGAATTTCAATCAATAAAGTAAATCTGTTTCCTCGAAAAATTAATCTAAATCTTCATCAATACCATATGCTCTTCAGTATCTTTCATTTAGGATGTATCTGATTGATATGACATATCAAAAAATTTTAACAAAATTTATGACTCAACATAGAAACTGATAGGAAATTACAAATATCATTTGTGAAACCACTTCTATTGGAAATGTAGTTTAAATAAATAATATCTCTAGTAAGATCATAATACAATACATTTTAAAAACGATAGAAGAAGAAGAAGAAGAAGAAGAAGATTTAACTTAGAACTATTACATTCTGTTGAACATGTCAAGTTTATTAAATAAAATTTAGTTAACAAAAATTAACTGAAAGATTATATTTATCCATTTAAGCTTTTATTTTCATTCTGTTAATTTTTGTATTAATTCACAGTAATTATTGTTGTTATATTCCAAAGAGAATTATGAATGATAACGTTTGAGAACTATTTATGAAACAATATGATATGTATATTTCCTATTGTATGTAATTGTTAAGTACCTGAAGTATCCATATTCGAGTCCCTCTTATTATAAGCTTTATTTTGATCTATAGACTATTACTGTACGATTTACAATTCTTGAGTTATCCCTAGTTCATTAATTACTGTTCCCCCTATTCATAGCCACATTTAGCTAAATCTTGCACAAATGTTATTTTCTATTTTATGGTACGATGTGGTCTGTCTGTTTATTTGGTATATAAACCCAGTATATTTGTGAATAATGATTCATATTGCAAAGGTTATTAATGGTGTTCTGGACTTAACTGACTGGACTAGGCAGAAGCAGAATCAATGAGCACTCTAGACTGCTCATACGGTTTTCATGTGTTATTTGGTCTGATCGACAAATTCATTACTCTCCAATTGACGGTGATTATCACGTCATATATATTAAACAGAGCACGCACGCATACGATATAACAACTGTTGATTTTTATTTGACTTTGAATAAATTCATTGTAATTTTTTATATTCCACGTAATATTAGTTTGTTCAGTATCAACTTCAATAGTATCAATTCTTTGTGGTTTTGTATCTAAGTGACAATTTATAATTGAATAAATTTGAATATAATTAAATCTTCTTCATATCTTATCAACAAAATATTCCCTATATAGAAAAGATTATGTTACAAGATAGAACTCATAGACTTCAGTTTTCACAATGAACAATTGACCATTGTATCGATGAAATAATTAATAATATTTATTATCATTTTCATTGGTTCAGAAAACTTTTATCACTATGTCATGATATAATTATTACGTAACATAACTATTCAATGAGTATTATTTCATTATCAGAAGGGGGGTTTTGTGAAGATTTTAGTAATTTTTTCTAATAGTTGAGTTCATAAATCAATTAAAGCTAGACCACGATGAAAAACTTGAAAACACTGAACTACCCTTACGTCCCAGTATAGGACTCTTTAGAACTGCGCATCCATCATCCTGCCCCGAGAGATTAGAATCCAGGACCTATCAGTCTATGTGCACAAACACTTAACATGTGAACCACTGAGCCGGTATTTAATGATGTTGATGTTTAACTCCAACCAATCCATAAAATTGCGCCACCGTTCACCATTGTCCTCAATGATTTACTATCTCATAACAGACCTGGTTGAACTTCATTGGTCACGACTTCTGACTAGAAATCCATGAAGTACATCTTGTGTTAGTACAGAGCCGTGATGGAAAAACTAATTGAAAAGAAATCTGGATCTATTCGTTTCTTGTTTTATCAAATTTTTATGAGTTTAGATGTTTGCCTGTTTACGAATATAAGTGATCATTAATAATAATGATAATAATAATAATAATAATAATAATAATAATAATAATAAATTCACTTAGTATTGTATGTCTGAATCCTTCTATTGATGTTTAGGACTGCAATTGATCAGTCTTTTATTCGAATATATGCATATTGCCTCTTTATTGCCTTAATTCACAAGTATTCTAAATAAAGATGGATAGTGTCGATAGCAATGAGATACAGGACACACGTTTCATCCCACTTAGCATTTGTCAACTGGATGTTCCTATATCCCACAGTTGATGTTCGCTCTGTAACTCAAACCTAATACCGTCCGTTATCCAATTAACTATTGAGTCCTGATAATCACTAGTTTCTGTAATATTAATACAAGTATAAGTCCCACATATGATAAGTAAAAAAAAATTTTTTTTTGTTTTGTTTACTCATTCCCCAATTACCTATTTGTTCATTCATTAAAAAAAAAATCATTTCAACCAATCAATTAATACTTAACAAAAAAAATTTATAAAAAAAATATTAACCAATCATTATTAACCAATAATAATTTGAGCACATATCAAAATTATTATAAATGAAATAATTAAGTAATAGCATAAAAATTGATAATTTAATATCTCTTTCTCCCTCCCTCCCTCTCTCTCTCTCTCTCGCCCTCTCTCTCTCTCTCTCGGTGTATATATATATATATATACAACAGATATTTGAAATTTAACTTAATTGAAATGTGATCCCGTCAACCATATTTAAATGATCAATTTAAATTTTAAAAAAAAAATGTATTCAACATATACACTAGAAATCGATTAATTATAATCAATAATTTTTTTTTAATTTTTTAAAAAAATAATAAAATAAAGTGAATATATAAATGTACATTCTCACGTCCATTTACACAAATTACATATATATATATATGGACACATACGGGAAACATGTACACACTCACATTCACACACACACACACCTATATATATATATACTTGTTTATGTAAATATACACAATTCAAATTAGCTTAATGTTCTCCTTTTGTATATATAAATATGTATATATATATATATTTATATTTTTTTGTTTTTAAAAAAAAATAAGTTGGGATTATGTTTATTATAAAAAAACATTATAGATATATATGGATATAAAAAAACAACAACAGCCACAACAACAACCACCACCACCACCACCACAACAACAACAACCATAACAACAACAACAGTGGATTAATTAAATATAATGAATTTTAAGGTGAATTCATTCAAGTGAACACCACCTATTACTACTACTACTATCATAGTAATAATTAATTATTTATTTATTTTATCATAATCATAATGAATTTGGATATAAACACTGAACAAGAGAAAATAAATATGATAGAAACTATAAATAATACTGATGAAAATACTACTGCTACTACTACTACGACGACGACTACTACTAACATAAGTCCCACAGTTACAACTACTATGACAACTATAACTACAAATATTCATTCTAAATCAATTGAAAATAGTTTATATGAAAGACGTAGAAATTGGCGTATACATCAAATGAAATCATGTATGGAACCACCAATAAATGTTTCAATGACATCAATTTATAATAAAGAAGATGATGGAATAAGAATGATTAATATGTCTAAAAAATCAGATATATTATATAATAAAGAAAATTGGTGGGGAAAAACTATTAGTCAGTAAGTTACTAATTGTTTAGTTGTCAGTCTTGCGTTATATATATAGGAGTAAAACTGAAAGACGGATCTAATCCAAAATGAAAAACACTTTGTATTTCATTTAGACTGACTATTTAATTCATGTTTCAATCAGTTATTTAATACATCCTTTGAAAACTATACCAATATGTTATTCTCAGCGTTCACTCGCGAGTCGGACAGGTCCTGGGTTGAAATCTCGCGAGGCAGGATCGTAGGTGCGCACTACTGAGGTGTTCCACAATCGGATGAAACGGCCGTTCAATGCTTCCAGGTTTTTTATAGTGGTCTAGCTTCAGTCGATTTATGAACTTAATTATTAAATCACTCCAATATCCACAGAACCTCTTTCTGATTAGAAAAAAAATTTTCAATAGTCAGTAATGTCTACAAATCATTTACAATCAGAAAAGTTTCCTCACAGTTTGAATGTTATACCTATTTGTTTCCACTTATCATTTATGGGATCTATATACTAAATAACTGTCATGTTTTCATTCAAGTTTTTCAATATTTTACATTGTAACAAGTTTGTTTTTTTTTTTAAAAAAAAAGCCTATTGATACATACAGTTAACATTTACAAATTAGTTAATTTAAATAAATTTAGAACATTGAACTTTACTACAATATCTGTACAGTTGAAAGAAAAACAAAACATAGCCTAAATATTTGACTAGGTCATTCATAAGAATTTACAGCGTGAAGGATTAAATGCCAGACAAATAAATTGTAAACTTTAAAAAAAAACAACTATTGTATAGTTGAAACCATGAATCAATTGAAGCTAGACCACAATAGAAAACCTGGAAGCATTGGACTATTATTTCGTTCTATTGTGGGACTTCTCAACAGTGTACATCCACGATCCCGCCTAACAAGATTCCGACTCAGGACCTGTAGGTCTCGCGCGCGAGCGTTTAACCAGTAGACCATTGAGCCGGCCAGTATCCAACGGTGTTAATGTCGAACTTCAACCAATTGTCTTCAGTGAGTTGATATCTCCCAACAGACCTGATTGAACTCCACTGGTTACTGCTTCTCAATCGAACTTCAGGATTTCAACTATATGAAATTACTAAAATCTCCACAAAACCCCCTTCTTAAAAATTTATTGATTAAATTCGGTTCATTTTTAATTTTACTCAGCATTGTATTTATGTAATATGATTGAATGGAATGAATATTTTGATTCATCTATAAAGCTACTACAATAATACTGAATATTAAGTTACCTATGGAAATTTTGACTACATCACAATTAATCTATGAAAAACACTTAATGGAGTCAACATTTCTAATAATTGTTAATATTCTTTCTGATAATTGTAGATCATTTTCAAAAAAGGATTTGTGGAGATTTCAGTATTTTTCAAAGTTGAAATCATCAGTCAATTGAAGCTAGACCACCATCGAAAACCTGGAAGCACTGGACGGCCGTTTTGTCCTATTATGGGACGACTATCCAGTGCTTCCAGGTTTTCGATAGTGGTGTAGATCATTTATTAATTTCATCATTGGTTTTCATTAGGAAAATTGTTTGTTTTAAGTTAAATATTGAAGGAGAAGAATTCATTCATTTGCTTTTTTTGTTGTTGCTATCCTTACATATAGTTACTCAAATTAATTAGTTTACATTACGTACTGAGTTTAGTTAAACAACCATTGAAAATTATTAAAAAAACAAACATTGAATACTTGTTTTGGTTCAGTCGAGTTCAACCATTTTTAGAATGTATTAGTTGCCGATCAATCACACTGGAAGATGATTGGACAATATTATGAATTGATTATTATGAAAAATATGAACATTTGATATCAACTCAGTAGTGTGTAGGTTAACCAATTGACATTAGATCAGAAGGTCCTATACTCAATCCATTATGTTAACGTTATGAATGAGCACTACTGAATAGTCCTATACGAATACAAAGTAGCTGTCCATTGTTTCTTAGATTTTAATAATTTTCTAACTAAGCTTAGTCAGTAATGTAACCAATAAGATTCACTGTCAGCTATTTGAGTAATTGAAAATTATGATAATTTCAATTTCTCAATATATACCTTAATTCTCATATTCAATTAGTTAATGAAAGATTCCGCTTTCCGACATATTACATTTGAAATTCTGTTCAATGAGCAAATAACAGATTTGATTATATCATTTTAGTGTAGTCTTGAGCATTTCATTCAAGATGAATCCATTGATTCCGTTACTTTATTTATTACATAACTGACAGTTCAGCCTAATCCCGATATTTTAAAATTTTTAGTCAGAATCCTGGAAGATTACATAAATGATCATAAGAGTTTTCATTGTTTAAATCCATGTTGTATTGTCCGTTTGAATCTTTCCACTGATTTTTAGGACTGCAATTGATCAGTCTGTTATTAGCATATCTGCATTCTGTGTGGATTACCTTGTTATTGCCTTAAGTCACAAGCATTATAAATAAAGATGGATAGTGGCCAGTAGTGGAATACAGGATGCGCGTTTCGTCCTATTCCGGCTTACAGCTGATGATATCGGTAGAATGCAAGACTAAAACGCACCGTAAATTCGAACTCGAGCTAGGTATATATATATATATATATACTTCTGAATAAGGTATTTTTTCATAACATTAACATGACAGACTACGTTTTAAACTGTAACCATAAAATATTGTTTTATTACTCATATGAAGTACTTTATAAAAATGCAAAATGTTTTCATTTACATAAACATACTTGTATTGATTTTCATAAACTGGGAATTCAAGGGGGAACAGTAAAACCTCTAAAACTCATTCTAATCTTGCTGGCTTTTGTGTGTTTAAAAAAAATACTGTTATTCACTTTTAAACACTATAAAGTTGTTGAACTACAATGAAGTTTTTAATAACGTTTTTCTCTTTCTCTCTCTTACCTGATCGCAGTTAGTTCCCCACTAGTATTAATGTACTCATTTCCACAACCTAATCTCTTGGGTGTCAGGTATACGAAAACAGATCAATTACAAAGTTAAATAATCTAGCTGACCATATTTATTAATTTATTTATTGACACAATTATCGTAACATTTGTTACTTGCATTTAGTTAACTAGAAGTTGAAGGTAGTGTGGATACTTGTTGCTGAGGATTCTTATAGTGTGATGAAAAAGTTGTTGAATACTTCTTCTCATTAAAGTTAGTCCATGGTAATAACACTTTGAATTCAGTAATTATCTGAACACCCTACAAATAAGCAACATGTTCCCAAATAAATTATGTGATAATGTACATAAAAGGATTCTTTCATTCCTCTAGAATGTTTTACTGTGATAATCAAACAGTTTTATTTTGATTGTTTGAATCTAAATTCCTTTGTCCCATGAAAAACGAACAGATAAAAGTTTAAACTAGAGACTTGATCGATAGAGGTATTCCTACAGTCTTTTACTTCAATGTAATGTAAGTGATTTGTTTTCCATCACAGTTGCCACCAGCAAAATCGAAATCATGTGAATGACAGTTTTAGGAGTTAATATTCAAAACTGTAGTTAACTGCATATTTGTTACATGATTTCTTAGCGATTTCAATTCAGTAGCCTAGTAGATGATGTATTTAGGTTTAAAATGACAGGTACCGGATAGGAATATCAATATGAATATCAACACCACGATGCATATACATTCATCCATCTTGATGAATCTCAAGAAGATGAAAGGCACGTTCTGGATCTTAATGTTCATTATTATCCTAATATTACTGAAACTATAAATAACAAGTTTTGATAATTTAATTTAATTGAGTTAATTGTCTCACGTCACAGTCTAACTTAATTCAGTAATATATGAAAAAATAGTTTTAATTCACAGCTTTCGTAGTTCATCTATTTGGATGTAGTCAATTTTTTTTCATTAAAACAAAATGGTTACAATACTTTCAAATAAATAATGAACTGGAAGAAACATGAAATTAATATCCGGAAAGGCAGACTCTCAAAGATACACTAAACAATTCTACAGATATCCATACCATTTTTCTTTCCATACCATCGATTGTTGCATCTGGGGCAAAACATTAACTATATTTTTTTCAGTTTTTTCAGTACTTGAGGGTTGATCGAAGAATTATTACTGATAAGGAGGTTGATACATTACAAATTCAGTTGAAGTGTAGTTCACATCCACTACTAACTATGCTGATATTTCAATTTGCATAGTTGGAGATAGATTATGACAGAGACTAAAGCAGATTATCTAGTCATTAATACAGTTGGAAGAGTTGATTACAAGTTTATCAACAGACAACAATGAATAATAAACAAACTATAAAATTTTGTTATTTTAAAAACATTTACTCTCTTTTAGAATAGATAAAATGTGACTAATAGTGGAATTCAGAACGTACTTTTTATCCTAATTACGACTCTTCAGCTTACTTACTACTTACTTACGCCTGTTACCCCTTGTGGAGGAGCATAGGCCGCTCACCAGCATTCTCCATCCAACTCTGTCCTGAGCCTTCCTTTCCAGTTCTTTCCAGTTGCTATTCATCTTTTTCATATCGGCTTCTATTTCCCGGCGTAGTGTGTTCTTTGGCCTTCATCTTTTCCGCTTCCCTTCCGGATTCCAAGTTAGGGATTGAGTCGTGATGCACATTGGTGATTTCCTCAATGTATGTCCGATCCACTTCCAACGTCTTTTCCTAATTTCCTCATCAGCTGGAAGCCGGTTTGTCCTCTCCTATAAAAAGCTGTTTCTGATAGCATCCGGCCAATGGATGTTGAGTATTTTGCGTAGACAACTGTTTATAAATACTTGTACCTTCCTGATGATGGTCGTAGTAGTTCTCCACGTTTCAGCTCCATACAGTAGGACTGTTTTGACGTTTGTATTAAAGATTCCGACCTTGAAATTGGTTGAGAGTTGTTTTGAGTTCCATATGTTCTTCAATTGTAGAAATGCTGCCCTTGCTTTGCCAATCCTCGCCTTTACATCTGCATCCGATCCCCCTT